ATCTAACAGCGAGAAAGCATGGGCGTTCGTGCTATATGAAGTTGATAATAATCTTTATTTGCACAAAGTATGACCATGGCTTAAATGCTAAACTATAAAAATGTGGGAGAAAAAACGGAAGCGATTGGGATTTTGAGAAAACCGTTTCTGCAACTCAGTACGCTCAAGCCGGGGCTCACTAGTTTTGTGAAATCAGTAGCAAATCCGTTCTTTTTCAATCAAAAGGTGGCAGTTGCGCTTGCGAAGAAATGCCGTCAAGTCAAGCAATTCATTTTTTTTATGCGGATTACCACAAAACCACGGAGAATTCTCCAAAATGTGGTTACAGGCAATACCACCTAAAGGACAAGGCCTGCGCGTTTCCTCCTCTAAACGTCATCACTAGTAGATCCCCTCAGCGCCAACTAGGTAGCCCGAATGAGCACCATCGCCTGCTATACATTGTCTGCGACATCGTCTGCTCCATCGCCTGCTTCAATGGTTTGCGTAGCAGACAATGAAGCAGATGCTCACGCCGAGTGCCCGTTGCTACAGCGTACGATGAAGTTAGACGTTCACGTGGAGCGCCAAATGCATGAGTAAAAATGCCTTACTTCTGTGCGAAGGGCTGCAAAGCGCTAAGCTGGACGTTGGCACTGGACGCCATTTCTGAGGGCTCTACGTTCACTATTAAGCAGAGAACGCAGCCAACGCCACAAGCGCAAGAGCTTCAAGTTGCTGCTCGAACGCTGCTTTGAAGTGTTCTTCCGCACGTCTTCGCCTTCCAAAGCGGGAAACATGTGCGTGCTGGGCCATGACCGAACATATGTAGGCTGTGATTCTCGTAAACATTGTAATGTGTGAAATGGAATGAACTGCATTCGAGTAGGCCAGATGGCAGAATTCTGTTCATGAACATTGCGCTAAAGTTAAAATGAAAAGAACTCCGCAACCACCAAGCCATATATCAAGGTGCAATGAAAGGCGCATAAACTAAACAAATCTAGTATTGATCTTCAAATAAAAAAAATTTGCTTCAAATCTTGCGTAAAGTACAAACATGCATTATAATATTCAACTTTTACTATTCAAAATAAGTTAAACGATGTAACCGTCCAAAACATTTGTACCCATATTTGTTTTATACTGTTGGATTGGAAAGTAACACGCTCATCAAACACTTATCTACGAGTGCACATGGGGAAGAGTAAGTCTATATAAGGATTTTTTTAAAATTAAGTTTTGGTTTTGCACAGTTTCCATCAGCTTGAAAGCAAACATCTTCGACAGAAATCTATCTGGTTTGGGGAACAATTCGAAAAAAAGAAAACTCAAACAGAAAGTTTAGAAACAAAGAGTTCCCAACGTTTCGGGGTCGACTTGACTCCTCCTTCAGGGGTGACTAAAAATGGAATGGGACAGCGCGAGCTTCGACCTCTCCTTCCTCTTCTACCGAGCTGATGTTTTGTGAACGGGACGCAGGCCATGGACGTAAATAGATGGTAAGGCCCCGAGGGACCCGTTAATGTTCCCCGGTGTATTCTGGATATATCAGCAGTAAACTTGCAATCCTCTCTCCAGCGGAGATAATATTTTTATACTTTAAACAACCTCTAAGCCGTATATAACATTTCTCTGCAATAGAATAAAATAGACATTTTCACCACCTCCTCTCTCAGAGAAAATTGCATGCCAACCATTTCACAAACCAGGCAATGTCTTTATCGTATAATGATGGAGCTCAACACCTGCTCCCTAAACCTCTATAATGCCAGACACGACATGTCTGGCATTATACCAACTTTGTTGGTATAATGCCAACTTCAACTTTGTTTAGACGTTTCACTTCTCTCCTGACAGATCAGCTGCGTGAGTGCAACTCCAAGAGTAGCCCGAGCTAGATTTTGATGTCCAAAACAAACATAGCTTTTGTAAAAACAATACAAAAATCACTGAAATAATTGTGAACAACAAATCTTACTGCGTCGAATGTCGACTGTAGCGCTAGAATATGCACTATTTTCTTGATATTATTAGCGCCCTTCTTTGGATGAATGTTGTAAGGGTCACAGCCGGCTTAAGTCAGCGTTTGCCGCTCTTGAAGCTGTTCCAGCTGCAAAAGGATACTAAACACGCAGCACGCGGTTATAAAGTATGTAGCCGCGTACTCCAGCCCGTATCTCTGTAAAGTATTCCAAGCTTAAGCGACATTGTTTCTTGCGACACTAGTCCTCTCGGCAGACAGTTTGCGCAAAAATACCTTGACGTGGCTGGCCTCCATTGCTGCCGGGAAGCGCGTTTTTTCCCCACGAAAACAAGGGCAAAAAAGAAGCTTTTCCCGGCACTGTTCCTAGAATCTGCCGCGGAGCTCAGATTGCTACCCACTGCAAAATAACTTTCAACCTTGAAGCTGTGAAAAAACAGAGTTGGAAGTAACGCGGTACAAGTAACGACGTTACTGGTAACGGGTTAGTTTTTTGACTAACGTACTCGTTATAATTCCAAATGTCTAACGACTAAAGTAACGTCGTTATCATTTTACGGTATCCCCTTTCAATTTACGTTACCCGCTAATCGTTACTTTGATTACAAATCGCCGCATGAGTGTTTTACAACAAAATAATTTTCATTATGTACATACACTACGTAAAAGTGGCAAAGAAACCCCAACAAAGCTATGCATAAGCGGAGTCATTTCAAACTCCTTCGGAAGAAACTTTTAACGTTCCCACGATCGGGCTCAAAAGGCGCGAGAATATCGCTATGCGGAACTCCTAGGCATCCTTGGTGCAGTCTTTGAATAGAAGCTGCTAAGATCACCGTCACCGTACCTTTAGCAGCCGTCTCGCTGTAAAGAGACATCCGCTCAGAAGGCAACACTCCTCCGCCGCTCGAGACATTTTGCCTCTCGTCCCTAGTTACTCCAGCTGGTCACATACTTCTCCTCAAAACAAATAAATTCTCGTTCTGTCAACAAATGAAGGGATAAACTTTGGAAGCTTTGACCTTGTCACACTTTGAACCAAAACAGGTGAGTCAGCATAGCCGGGTGCTGACGTGTCGTTAATTGGAAATGCGACGTTGGTTTTAGAAGGAATAAAATAACGTTTATTTTACCGGATTAACTTTGATTACACGAATAGGTCTATAATGCGTTCGTAACTTGGTGTGAATCCGATCGTTCTTTTCAGAGCGGTTTCAGGTGTTATGGGAAAGGTTCAATTCTTCGAATCGCGCTGGCGATGCGTCACGTGTTCGAGAATGTAGATTACATATTCTACCCAGGCCAGACAAACAAGCCAGGCTAGATAAATAGGTTCAGGAAATGCATTACAGTTATGCGAATCGTGCTCTCGAAGCGGCGCGTGTTTGAGGATATACATTACACAAACAAGCTGACCCAGATACCAAGTTGCAAGGTTATCGCAGCATTGAACGCCGACCGTCACCCGAGATACGTCACCATCTTTTAGAATCCCTGCAGCTGTGGTTCTGTTTATGTGAGTTTCCAACGTATAAATGTAATCTGTACCCCACTCCTCTGTTGTAATACTTCGGCGCCTGGAGAGTACAAATAAATAAAAAAATCACCTTGAACAAGTGTATTGTTGCCGAAGTTTATAGAGACGGTTTATGATGAACTGCTATCGTACAAGAGTGGTTGTTTTGGCGAGTTTGTTTGACATCTTATACAATCTTGTGCGCAGCAAGGAGGAGGACAAAGAGAAGAGAAGAGGACACAACAAGGCGCAACTTTCAACTGACTTTTATTGAATATGTGTTCCGGTATTTGTAGTCTGAACCATCGTCACAATGACAACAAACAAAAACGAAAAAAGCAAACGAAAACGACCATCACAGAGCATAATTGGAAAAAAACACTATCTCGTTTTCAGAAAACCAATTCCTTCTCCGATAACGCAATCGACGGCATAGCAACACACGTCACAATGAATAGCAACACACGTGTCTCCTAAATAATCAATGTGTTCGGCTTCTACGATTTCGCGTGCTAACGCTGACTTGCATTTCCACAACCGCATGTCCTGCAATGCAAGTCAAGAAAGCCACCGTTCTGTTTTTGCACGTTGTTATTGTGCTCGCAAAGCCGATCATTTAGGCAGCCCCCGTCTGCCCGACGTAGTACCTGCCACAGGGCAACGGAATGCGATAAACCACACCATCTGTACAGTCGACAAATTTCCTTCTGTACTTCTTTTCACATCCGTGTTTGGCACGCACGCCATGGGCTTTGATAGTTTGCACAGGTCCATGAGCTTATTGGGCGCAGAAAACACTACCTTTACATTTGATCGCATTGCTACTTTCTTTAAATTGTGCGACACTCTGTGTCACACAATTCTACTTTAAAAACGCAATCTTTGTAAATAAAAAAAAATCGGTCGAAAAGAACAATCTATACATATTTACCACATCGCAGACGCGGAATTAGTTCAGCGGAAATCAATGCGTTGAGGAAATGAGGGAGAGAAGGTAATGCGAGCGCGTTGGGATCTCAAAACGAAGAGCTCTGATTGGAATGATTAGTGGGTAGACCTAAAGCTAGTTGCCTCTGTCTCCACTGCACTCGTCGAACGCGTTAGAACACGGAACGCCGGCGTCCGGCGTTTGACTCTCATATTCGTAGGCGTTCGAAGAGTGCCGCGGGACACAAAGGCAGCTAACTTAAGACCTAACTCTGGATCCTTTCAGCCACAGCTCGGCGTTCTGACATTTCAACGCTCTCGCGTCACCTTACTTTCTCAGTGCATGCCGCGATATAAAGATCATTCTTAATGTCATGAACAAAGCATGCTGAAAAAAAAACAACATCTGGTCTTGTACTGTTTAATGTCATTTGGAGCTTCCAATACATTCCCGATCCCCTCAAAATTATGTTTTTGAACTGCCGTAATAAATGGAGCCTCTTCCCATTGGCGTGGAAATATTCAGAAACGCGTTCGGTGAGGTGTTTGACCGGTCGAATGGCTTCAGTTGGATTTGTTTCCTGGATCACCAAGATGGGATCGTTCGTGTCTCAGGCGATCCTGCTTGCTTCGTTCGTGGTGAGCATTTTTTGTTGTCCATCAGAAGAACAAGCAATGCATTTATCTGTAAAGTATGTCTAACCCCCCCCCCCCCCCAAAAAAAAAAAGAGAAGACAAAAAACTATCATTGTACCATATATTACAGAGGATGTTTCAACTAACGTGTGCCAAGACCTAAAAAATAAGCTAGTTCATGCAACGTATGTAGAACCAAAGCAGAATTATTCTAGTCCCTTTGGGCGAGTCAATGTGCAGGACAAGCTAATCAACACAAACTATTTAGCTAACTTTATAAATATTAATTTGTGCGAAAACTCTCCAATCCAAATAATGTTGAACTTGTCAAAGGTGAAAAGCGGTCAGAAAGGAGGAAACTCTCCTTCTATTCCTTCTTTCCATTCGAGAAAGAAGGAGACTTTCTTCCTTTTAGAGGGAACTGAGGGGTGTGTTGGATTAACAATAGTTGACGCTGAAAGAATGAAACACTCCTTTGGTGGTCCGTCCCAAATGTGGGTTTTATTCTTCCAACTCCTTGCTTTCTGTGGTGAGCAGCTCAGAGACCCGCTTCTTTGACGAGATGAGCAGAGAAATCTGTAAGAGAAAATAGAGTGAAGGAAACTGGGAACGAGTTTGCGTGCCGGCCGAATATACTATTTTGCAGGTTGGGCTTCAAAGCTGCCCTCCAATGATGTTTGACCTTCTGCCCTTTTCATATTATAACTTCTTTAATAGTTCTGGCTACTCAGGGAAAGAGTAGTAGTCATGAGATATTAGAGCGTCATATTTTATTTCGATCAGTCAAAATCAGCTGAACGTCCGGTGGCGCCGCAGTGTGTTGAAAACGCGCGGCCGATGGCGTCATCAGTATACCATTTTTTTTTATTGACAGTAAGATCCGTGAGAGTAATCTTATGCAGGCGAAGTAATATGTATAACTTTCTAAACCATTGTTATTTTTTCAAGAATGCGCTTTTATTGAGCGAGAAGGATGCTAAATAGAGAAAAATGTATTTCAAATCATCTGCAAATGCAAGGAAAAAAGAAACATGGCACGATCATTTTATAGCGGCGGAACCTGCCATACCAACCGGCGTGCAAGCTAACTGAGTAATAACCAGAGTGTCGAACCGAACTTTTGATTGTTTCGGTTAGGCTTTGGGTTCAGAGATTTCGGTTGAGTTCCGGTTCAGCTCCCGTGAGCCAAAATAACGGTTCAAACCAGTCCGATCCGGTAGGAACCAATAAATCTTGAGCATATTTTCTACGTTGTTTCGGCAATAGGCATTTCTTCCGCCACGAAACAGGTGGCTATATGACGTTTTATCGCTTGTACCATAATATTTTACATTGAGGTAACAAACAACACTTTACTTAGACTCAGCAATCTATAAAATCTAGGATGATATTAAACGTTGACTTCAGAGAACTCAGCTTTCATTTCTTGATCTCATTCAAATGTATTATTTGAATCGATCAGGTTCTGACAAGGTGAGGTGGCAACCTAAAATACCCGGTAATGGCTACAGCTTAGCGACACAATAATAAACGATTTTTAAGAGTTGCACTACAGACGGAAAGAATTTAAGTGGTGAACAAAATAATTAAACATTCACTTTGTTGCCATATATAGGGCATTTGATTTTAACTCGAAGAGATTTTCTTTGTTAAATAGGGGCAATGATAGTTATGCTGATGCCTCCTCGAAGATGTATTTATAAGGCTCGGCGCACATAATATATAGGTTGTAGCCATCATGGCAATTTGCAGTTAAATAATATTTGTTAATCATCCTTTTAATATTTGGTTTTATGGGTCGAGACAAAGCCGACTCTAGGAGTGAATGGGACCAATCAAAATGTGTCAAAACCGGAAGTCACTAGTCTTATGATGTTTATGATTGGTTCAACGAATATACAGCACGTACACAAGTATAGCGAACACCCATGATGGCTCATACTTAAAGAAACACGACACAAGGGGAAAGAAAGGGACAAATACAACGAACACACGACTTCGTTGTGTTATGTCTTCCTTTTCAGATGCGGAGCATCTCTTGCTCGGGTCTATGTCCCGCGGCGTCGTAGTCCGCACTCACACTACGCATGCGCAACTCTCCTCCTTCCCTCTCTCCAACAGCTGCGCGTTACTCTCTCCGCTCTCTTTCTTTACCAACTGCGTGCACTTCGCGTGCGTTCGCTTCTACTCACACCGCGCGCGCATGCGCAACTCTCCTCCTCTAGTCTCCTCTCCTTCAAGTGTGAATATAAGCAGCGGTAGCGCGCTGCGAGCGTTCAGTTCACCGCTGTTGACGCCACTTCACTCTGTTCTTCCGATGAAGTGTGATGGAAGCAACAGTCCCGTCAGTTAGTGGGTTGGCGCAAGCAAGCGTCAGCACCACCCCACAAACAGCAACGCTACGTCCACTGAAGACAAAGCTGCGCAGCGAAGGGCACGCGACGCTGAGCGCAAACGCTTGAAGCGAGCGGCAGAGGCCTGAGCTACGGCAACGAGAAGCGGCGTTCATTCGTCAACGTCGAGCGGCGGATGCTGAACTACAACAACGTGAAGCAGCGGCGGTTCGAGAACGTCGAGCAGCAGAACCTGAGGTTCGGGACCGTGAAGCTCAACGTAAACGTACGAAGCGAGCGGTGGAACCCGACCTTCCGCGATGCTCCGCATCACCCCATGGTTCCCCTCGGGAAGATGGTGTAATTTTTCTTGTCTCCGGATTTTTAAAGTATGAACGTTCACCAAGTAGCCTGCGCCACAACTCTTATTTTAATCAAGGTGGCTCGTTTTTGACACCGTCTGATTGGTGCCATCGGGTGGTTGCATCGGCTGCGTCCGGACGGAATGAAGTGTAGCATCACAAGTTAGACAAATTTAAAGAACTTGCGTCAATAATGTTTTGCATGTTCATCTCTCCGTTTTTGCTATTTTGCTTTGGCGCGAACCCCAAAACGCGAGGCAAAAGTACGGCACTAGCCCTGCCCAAAATGTCGTTTAGAGGGGTGACGCAGACATTTCAATCCCGTCGTCATTATCGCGGCAGAGCGTCCTTGATGAACGCGCCAACGACATACTGGCGAAATAGTGATGGCTTGACTGAAACAGATACGTCACTCTTCTAAGCGTCATGATGGGCAGACCTTGTTGGGCTCTTTTTTCGCGTATTTGTGGTGTTGCGGCGATGGGGCCCACTGCGTAGCCATGACTGGTCTGATTTCTTTAGCGTCAAGAACGTTGATTCTTACGTCGACATGCTGACGATTTGTTTACAGGATACAATTAAAGACTTGCTCCAAGGTTGCTCCAAGAAGTCAAAATTCCCCATTTGGTATTGAGCAGACTTAAAATATTATATTTGCAAAAAGCGACATTACCATAAACTATATAAGAAGCGGAATTGCTAGCATTGGGGGGCACAAAAGGGACTCAACTGGTAGAACAATAGTTCAAAAAGCTTCTCGCCTATGACGAGGGTCTTTACCAGGATAACCTGAACGGGATTAAAACAAAACAAAAAAAGAAACGTATCGCTTTAGGCTTTATGTTCAAAACATAAAGTAAGGACAATGTCAACGCAACTGTGTTGAAAACCGATGGTTAGCTTTGTTGAACACGAGAAGAGGCATGTGAGGCGTTCGCTCGTCATTTCAATTCTTTTCTACCATCCGATAGCACGTTCGCTGGTTTCAACCTTGTGGAAGACTTTTGACTGTTTCGTTTATGAACGTATATTAAAATATGAGGTGTCACTTGCTGTGCGTAAGCTGAAATCGAAAATTTCTACCGGCCATGACGGCATCCCAAGCTTCATTATCAAGGGATTTGCTCTAATCCTGTTTTCAGCTCTAACTCATCTGTATAATTTGACATTAGAGCGCACTGTTTTCTTCTCGGTGGATAATATCTGTGGTTGTCCCAATATTTGAGTCTGGAGATCCCTGTAACGCAAACAAATTTCGTCCAGTGTCACTTTAATGCATATTTTCATAAGTGTTCGAAATTGATATTCATGAACGTCTACATTTTTCTTTTAAACAAAAATATCACCATTGCAGCACGGCTTCGTGAAAAGCAGATCTATTGAGACAAATATGAGTGTTTTCCTCAGGCTGAGCACGCCTTTAATACACAGCCGCGGTCAAGTAGACACTATTTATTTTGGTATGTCAGAGGATTTTGACAAGGTTTCACATAACATAATTGTGTCCATATAAATACGTATGGCTTATGCACAAATTACTTTTTATAGTCTTCAAACTACTTGGGAAATGGCCAGAATCGAGTTAGTTTTTCAAATTGCATTTCTTAGCCGTTCTTATTATTTTCAGGTGTGTCTCAGGGCTTTAACCTTGCGCCGTTGTTGTTCTTAGCGTTCATTAATGACTTGCCATCGCAAGGGCACAATTCCAAAGGTTTCTTGTACGTCGAGGACCTGAAATATATCAAAAAGGTTTAGAATATGCAGGACGGCTTCCTGTTACAAAATGGCGTATGTTCTGTTGAGCAATTTTGCAATACAAATAAACTGCAACTAAATCTCAAGGATATTTCGGTAATGTTAATGAGCAGGAGACACGAGTGCATCGTGTTCAACTATATTTTCTCTGGCAGTCGGATACAGCGCATGTCTCTTGTACCCTACCATGGTGTTCAAGTGAAAACCAGGCAGGATTTTCACCAGCATGTGCTCAACACAGCTAGTCAGGCACTACGATGCCTTGATGCTGTATCGAGGTTAACAAGATTTCGCTGACCACACTGCATTCGCTCTCTTTATTGTTCACTTGTCCAGCAGCGCTTAGAGCTTGCATCCGTAATTTGAAACTCTGTTTTCTTCCTATAGCAATATAATCGAGAATATCCAGCGGAAGTTTAATCGTATTGTGTACGATACGTTGCGTTTATGTTAGTGTGCACGTCTGAGTGCTCTACTTAGAATTTTTACTTGGACGCACTACCTCAAGATACTTCTAGGCCGGACGCGTTTTCACGGGGTGCAGGCAAAAACTTGAAGCTCGATGATGAACCAAAGATGCAGTTAGGCTCCAAGGCGACCTCGTGCTTGAGATATTCATGAACTATGTATGTCATGTGCTAGTCGTACGCGCCGTCAGTCGTTCCCACTCAAAACAACAATTCCCCCCTCTGTAAAAATAATAGAGGTGATCAATGAAAGGAAAATTTGAAGCCCGGAATTTTTATTCCGAGAGCGCTACAATTTCAAACACGTACAAGCCCAATTTAAAAATAGCGGCTTGCTAACGCGAAAGGCTAGCTACACTGTTAGTGCGCGGGCAATGGGTCAGAAAGTTGCGTCGAAATGAGAGCTCGTCGTGTCTGCTGAAGCCGGCCGGTGCATGCGTTAAGGGACGCGACATTGTGACTTTTCTTTTCTAGAGATATTTGTGATATTTCCTAGAAATTAAATGATTACTTTCACTCGTCATTCCAAGAATTTGCTTTTTTTTTAAACGTTTGCGGTACAACTCCCTGCCCCGACTCGAAGATTTGATCACAACACCGCGCTGGACACCATGGCGGGGCGCGGCGAAGCGGACGAGGAACGCCGTTCAACATTAATGTGGCGCGCATTTGGGTTCGCCGACGCTAAAGCATGAAGAGCCCAGGTCGATTGGCAACGCCAATTGCTTTCGGCGCCAGAGCTACGTCGACCCAAGGTGCTTTGGAAACGTTTGCGACAATGCGGTCACGTGTGTGCAGGCGTTGTAGAAGATGCGTACACGTCATCGGCGTGGCACCCTTGAAACTCACACGCCGCCGATTCGCCAGCCGTTTTGCTCTAACCGTCCTATCAATTAGTTCTGCCGTTTGTGGTACGGAGAATTAAAATCTTGCTTTTTTAATTTGTTTCGCGTATAACTTCTTACATAATGCGAATTCCCCAAAGACGTTTTAATCCTCGATGTTTCTCGCTCGGTGAGGTCTGTTTCCGCTCAAATTTCTAACGAGTCAAAGCATCATTGGAACATCTTTTCAATGGTGTATTCGCTGGTCGCTTTTCAGCGTTTTAGTGCGCTTTTAAGCTCCAATACTCATTTGGCTTGTCGAAGTTCGGTGCTCCGAGCATGCTTCTGAAGGTTTCCATGTGAACATAGAAGGAAGAACAAAGGAGGGAAGAAGAAGAGACACAGAATCCTGGACCATCGACCATTTACTGAAAATCTTTTTTCATCGGCACTCATAAAATAAAACGTTGCTTTCCGAGTGGTAACTTCTACATATTCGGTGTGATCCTTGATGGATAGCGTCCCGTCTTGGTAGCTCACATGGGGCGCTAACTACAGATAAACATTTTTCTGAGAAATGGCGTAATAGAGGCGGTAATTACACAGTCGTCACCTTCCGCCTCAATGGCCAGGGACTGCAGGATCTCCCTTACAAGCTGTTTTTTGTGTCTTGCAGCGATGGTGACGTTCAAAAGCATGTCAAACCAACCATCTCAGCTCCAGGCAGTCAAACCTCAAAGCAAATTCAGCTGGTTGTTCCTAACCGCTCTCGGATTTTCGGATCGCGCTGTGCACTGACTCGTTGCGCTTTGAGCTTCTCAGAGGGCCGGTCACGTGACTCTAGTCACTTCCGCTGTTGGGTTGAAAGAAAAAGATGCCAATACGGCCGAGATGCTTAGAGTGGAACGCCGCCATGTTTAATCATGCTGTGTTGTAAAGTGGGTAAAGGAGGTGCTCGGCGCTTGATGGTGGACTTTTCGCAGCGAAAACAGCGTCCGCATTGAAGGCTTCCATTTCTCATGCAAACATACCGACATGCGGCGGTGGCGCTGGTGCAGCAATGTGCAGGGCTGCTGAATGGACGGATTGATAGCATTGGTTAAACCATTTGTATTGGGCGGTAGCTTGCGTCATGACAGTGGAACGGTCATGGAGGTTGCCCTCGGCATGCATTTCTTCGTCGGCGCTCAGGCCGCTCGGAAATGTAGCCAAGCATTCGGCTGGCACGCTGTTACTCTTGCTCGCCTCTGGACACGCTCCAGGATCTCGCAGATCCAATTCAGAGGTGATTTTATCATCACGTATACCCTGAAATGGGTATACAAGCCCATCTTTATCGATATCTTGTAAACACAGAAATAGGGAATATTAAAAGAGAACGAACGAAGGCAACAAAATTTCGAAACGCAGCTGGAATTTCTTGATTTGAGCACACCAATAACTAGACTTTCGAACACATGGAGAAAGAGAAAGTGAAAGAAAACGGGAAAGAAGAAACTCAAATGCATAAACAACACTATGAACCAGTTCTATCCAGACAGCATAAGCCATTCCCCGGCTCCACCTTTGTGGAAAGGGAACCGCCACCCGAACAACAACTACCCAAGGTCCAACACACAGGGCGACCTCCAAACCGCTAAAGCCTAAGCTGTATTTCCTAATTCCAAGCAACCGCTTCCCCGTTTCCCGCCCCCCCCCTCTTTCCCCCAAGTTTTCAAGCTCCCCTCACAGAAGCAAAAACTCTTTCATCCAATCACTGATAACCAAAGACGGCTGCCTAAAATAATTCCCCTGCTCGCGAATGCACAAAGTCTCTATAATTAACCTTCTAAACAAATCTTTTTCGTTACACAGAACCGAAGCTTCATCCCAAAGAGCGGAACAAAAATTACACAAAATAAGGTGATTTGACAATTCAGAACTTTACGCCTTATTGTTTACACTGCTCATGTGTTCCACAAGACAGCGATTTAGGCAACACCCTATCTGTCCAACATTACACAACCCGCACTCAAAACGGAATAAATAATTTCCCGTATCAGCTGAAAGTAATTTTAGAAGATGCACCTGTTGTCCAATGGAGCCCGCATCTATGGTAACCTCGCCCTCGTATAGCCGAGGCGGGACCCACAGAGGTATAGCATGGGAAACCCATGTTGGGCTTGCCCACGCGGTGCTCCCGAGGACACCACCGTTGTGCTAACTCTCCTTTTGTACAGTCGGGGTGGTACCTGCGAGGAATTTAATGACCAGCCCAAGCAAGGTGGACGTGCCCCGTGGACCTCACTTCTGTACTAACTCTGCCCCCTTAGGGAAAAGATTGGACCCACGGGGATGTGACTATGTGCAGAGTATACGTCTGTGTTAACTATGTCCCCGTATAGCCGAGGTGAGACCCATCGGGGCATTGCGTGAGAAGCGAGAGGTGGGCATGCCCACACAGTTCCCCTGCGGAGACCCACCTTTGTGCACCCTGCCTCCGTGTAGTCTAGGTGGGATTCGCGTTGACAGTGCAGGGGCAGCACACGTTGGGCATGCCCGCGCGTAACCTAAGCGGTACCCACCCGGGTGCTGCGTCGGCTACCCAAGGCGTGTCCTCGATGTCACCAAACCTATACGGTGAATTGTCCCCCACATCACCGAGGTGAGACCCCCAGATGTATTGCAGATGCTGCAACACCTCACTTTACTTCATTTGGGCACACGTGGGTGGAACCATGTGTTTATTTTCTCTTTTCAAAAAGTTCATTACCAGATCTTAGTTGATTACCCCACACTGGACAATTAGCCGTCTATGTTACGTCCTCCTGGTCTTATAACTCACCTGCACATACCGCATTATGGTAACAGTAACGGCTTTTCCAAAACAAATCTGAAAAGTCTTAGAAAGCGCCCTGGGTAATGATGATGCCGGAAGCGAAACCGACCAGTGTTTTGCTTCGTGTCTCACGCACCGGCGACCAAAATTCACACGAACCCCTGCATTTTAAGAAATTGTGTCTTTACGTGCTTGATCCTCCTTATATTCGATTTGGTTCATCCAGATAGAACGTAAATAATCTGCTTCATTATGTTTTTTTATAGGTGCTCGGTGGAGCAGGTGAGTTTTTTTTATTTACCGGCAGGTCTTTGAATACGTCTTGTACTATATGTAGAAGCCGCGTTTAAAAATAAGCTGGAGCACGTTTTAAAGAAATCTTAGTAAGTAGCGCTCTTCTATACGTTTTTGTCCCGAGAATTCATGAGTCATAATTAGCCCGGGCATGATTATATGTAAACAGCATTTATTTGGACAAATACAAATAGGTATTGCCGCAGGGCATCTCTTCCACCTCTGATCTGTTCAAAACCTGGTGACGTCAACTTCGGCACCCCGAGCCAGCTTAGCAAAGACCAAGGGCTATGGAATTGCAGGCCAGGAATAGCACCAGCTTCAAAACTACCCAAGGGGTTTATTCGCAAAGTCCGTTTCGCTCAGGATGTAAAAAAAAGCTATATAAAAAGAATTAGTTCCATGCCTACTTTCGCGAGCACAGGCCCGTCGCCCTCTGTCTTCACTTGCACTTGGCCAGCTTTAATTAATCATTTGCAATACATTCCAGCCGCAAACTAATATTAGTTTCAAGCTGTGGAATGGCGAGTGAGCCAATGAGTTCTTTTCGCAACTAAATTAACATCTTTGTTCGGCAGGAACGCGCGCAAAGAAAGCAATCAAGCCAGATCGATCAAAATAGTAGATGTGGGACGCTAGACTTAGGCTCTACAAAAACAAGCATCCCCACAGCGCTTTAGCGCTGTAAGGATGAAGGCGCGTGCTTGCGACTTTTTTTTATTTTTGCTGCAAACTACGTCGGTTTAGGATATCTTCCTCTACACCTCTCTAAACTCAAAACCACTCGCACTCATGCAAATTGAGGCGCAGGGTCGAGCCTCGCACGCTCAGGACTCCGCAGACGCCGGCAGCTATGCTTGTTAACGTTTCAAACCAAAGCTGGAGAAGCAATCTTAGAATACATTTGAAGACAATGATAACTGTATCTTGATTATTTGCTTCTCAAACACAATAAAAATATTCGATTGATTACGCACGGAGATGCAAATATACAACCAACCTTTCACACACCTATCATCACTATGGCTAATGAGAGTTGTGAGCACTTTGTGAGCACGAGGCAGGGCACAGGAGGCTGCGACCTCATCACCCTGCGGCTAAATTGCATCTAACGGCGTAAATATTGCTTGGACCAAAAAAAAAAAAATCTTTTCCGGTAAACTTTTTGTTAAATACACGTGCCGCATCTGGACACTATAAGATGTCTTTTTTTTTATTGCTGTGCCTCTTTCAGTGTGTAAACATTTAGTGTGTAGAAGCTACAGCAGGAAGGTTTTTTTTTTATTTACGACTTGTGTCCTACGTCCGCCTTCCTTGGCCTCCGGTATCCGGCGTGACGAGGCAATGAGTGAATTATGCATGAAGGGTCTTCACCGCGAATTACAATAATTTGAACTAGAGAAGCAAGGTTTTTATTTTTATAGTAACATATACACGTCATAAACTGTCAGGCCATATTCTAAAAAAAAGCACAAAAAGATTGCTAAAGTCTTTTTTGACGAACTAAAAAAAAAACAAAAAAAAAAAAAATAGTGTGCTTCTTTGAAACCAAAACCAAAACAATCCTTGACTGGCGTGGAGTTAATTTAAATCACGACTGGTCATACATTCCGCCTTGATACGAAGTGGTGCTTATTTTTACGAAGTAATTTTGCTGTTTATAGTTGTAAAACTATAAACGGCATGTAAAAAAAACTACATGTAAAAAGAGTGTCTGGTTACGACTGGTCTTGGCATTTATGAACGTGTAGCGAGTTGACTCGGCGTTATAGCGACCACTCGGCTCCCCATTTTGGCTCCCCTACCAGGTTTATTTTGCTGTAAACTACTGACGCAGCTTTTTTTTTTTTTAATACTTCAAAAATATCCTACATAATTTCTATACAGCCGAGGAAAAAAAAAACGGGAGAACTTTTTCTTCTTCTTACCCTCCTTTTTAGTTTAGCTAAAATCACTTATAGCTTCAATAGTGCAAGGTGTGGCACATTCTGAGCATCTTATCGCGATATAGATCGAAGAGGTTCCGGTATGAGTTCATAAAGCAGCTGAAAAACGAATCGGAAAGCAAGAAGTGTAATCTCAAATTAGCCACGACTTACGTTTTTTAGCTGTCGACGAGTGTACTGTTTATGAAACCTCGAACGGAAAAAAAAAACTGAATAAAATGTTTGCATTTTCCACAGGAGAGTCACAGTTTGTGTTCAATCTGGAGTCGGTTGTAAAGAATTACGTGGACGACTACGCAGCAAAACGTCAAACCACAGCATGGTTTTACGATATGTGGGCGCAGCACCCTCAGTTGCAGGAGCGCGGAGTGTACAAAAGGTACGATGAACCACGTTTCAACCCATGCATCTCAAACAAATAAATACTCTGCTTTTACTAAATAAAGAAATTACGTTCGTGTCTAGACAGCATAAGGTCGGTTTGTCAATGAGGTTTGGGGACTTTGGTTTACCCTGCTGACAAGAAACTAAGCGTGCAGTATGACCGCTAGCCTGGGGTTGTTGACTCGCATCACACAGTAGTAATACACGACCGAACACCGGTGCTAATGATAATATTTGTTTGTAACTCAGACAGGTTGGGGAGAGAACGAATACGTTCATCCAGGTCGAAAGATAGGAGTTGCAGATTGAACCCAGGCTACCAGGGCAAGTCTCTGCAGAGCAGTTTTTGCTTCACATGCTCTGAGCTGCTAACACACTCGGCCCCAAGTCCCTCATAGATATTAAATTTTGCGCGCCTTGTACGCATCTAAAACATGTGCGCAGACTCTCGAAGTTTGCTCTCATTTTGCTCGGTATAAGATCTATAGGGTGGATACCGTAGGTTTTGCGCCGTAAAGAAGAGCCCGAAAATATCAACGCCTGCAAGTAGAAAAGTTCGCACCCTCACCATACCCGTACTGATATGGCCAGACATACCTTGCGACCACTCAAGGCGCTGTTCTCTTCGTGTAAAAATCGTTACCAGCAAACTTGCCAAAGTACGCGGCGGACGTGTTAGCAGACGACCGAGTTAGCCATTATAATAACCAGTAGCGTGAACACCTGATAGGCTCAGTGATGCATGCAACGAACGCGTCGTCTGCCCGCCGAGACTTTCGGGAGATGACGCATCAAGTTACATTCATCGCTAACTCGGTCGCCTGTGAACAGGTGTGCCGTAGACTTAGGGAAGTTTGTTGGTTATATTTTTTTACAGGAACACTAATTTCGCCTTGACATTTCAAAAGGTAAAACCAACGACCTCAAGGCACATTTGGTGAAAATGTGACCTTTCTATGTAGAGGCGCATATTATCTACATCATTTTACAGCTTAATTTTCACTGTAGCCACCCTACATATCCAAACTCTGTTGTATTCAAATGACCGCTTTGTACCTTTACATGAAAATTCCTCGTGAGTGACGCGCAATGCACTTTTCAATAGGAAACGTGACGTCGGCGCGCTTTTTAGACCTCTTCGGAGAACATTCGTGGACATCAAATTTTACGGTTACGTTAGTGCCTCAAATGAGCACTTGCCAAACCCCTGTACAGCGTGCACGTTCGTCTGTTCTAATGTGAATGCAATCAATGCAAATGTGCAGCATTCTGGACAAAAATGAACAATAATAATTTCTGGAGAGGGAGAATAAGGGGGGAAAAGGGCAAACGCAATAGGGTGTTCATATAAACGGGGCACATACTAACGACTCAGTGTATTTCGTAAAATGTGTTGTCGAACATCACCGAAATAATAGCAGAAGCCCCTCAGAGAGTCCTCCAGTCTTCACAATTTAGGTACGGTGTTTGGAACGTGTCTCCGACTGGTGGGCACACCGCGCACAAAAGAGTTGTCTCTCGATTTTCGTCTAATGACGACCTACATCCTGGAGAAAAGCAATCGTTATAGCCATTATAAAGCCAGGTAAAGATCGCACAAATCCTCAGAGCTACAGACCAATAGCTCTTGCTAGCTGCCTCTGCAGGGTGTTAGTACGCATGATCAACTCAAGACTTGTTTTTTTTTTTTTTTTTTTTAGTGGCCAAAAACTTACTATCTCGAGCTCAGTGTGGTTTTCGTAAAAAACGTTTAACTCTTGATAATATTCTCTTCTCTGGAGAAAGAGGTTTGCTCGGCCTTTCTGAGACGTGAACATCAGGTGGCAGTTTTCTTTTATCTCGCTAAGGCGTATGACACAACATGGAGGCATGGCATCCTTAGTAATTTGGTGCCCATGTGTTTCAATGGTAACATAATGATGTTCATTTAGAACTTCTGGACAGATCGCAATTTTCGAGTTCGCCAAGGAGCAGTTGTTTCTGACGAGTTTATGCAGGAAACGGATGTTTAGCAGAGGTGCATTCTAATTGTTACATTGTTTTTGAGTCAGATAAATTCACTTTCCCGTTAAATTTCCCACCCCATCGAGCACTCTTCATCTGCCGATGACCTTAAAATTTATATCAGGTCTTCATCTCTGCGAGTTGCCGAGCGACAACTTCAGCTTTGCATAAAACAAAATTTGCGAGTGGTGTTTTTGAAAAATTTATATTCTCGGCAGAAAAAAGTGCCATAGTACATTTTTCGCGAAAACGTGCTATGTACCCCGATTCCGAATTGTCACTGAACGGTACACAATTTGCTTGTAAAAACTTTGAAAAATTTCTGGGAGTCATTTTTGAGCGGAAGCGAACATTTGGAGAGCATACTGCCTGTTTTCGCAGAAACTGCCTCAAAAACTAAATATTCTTTAAGGTGATCGCACACACATCTTGGGGAGGACACGTTGAGTCTCTTTTGCATATTTATGGGTCTACAGTGCGTTCGAAACTGGAATATGTTAGCTTTGTTTACGAAATGGCTAGACAAAGCACAATTCGACAGTTTGATTTTGTTCATTACCAGGCAATTCGTTTGAGCACGGGAGCATTTCGGACATCACCAGTGGAGAGTCTATACAAATCAACTCGTGAACAGCCCTTCCGTCTTAGGAGAGAATTGCTAGGTCTATTTTATGCAGGTAAAAGTTCAATGTACAAGGACAATCCAGCCTACCGTCATGTCCCATCCCCACCTTTCACCGAGTTGTTTGCCCGACGCCTATCTGTCGCACAACCCTTCGGAATTCGTGTGCAGCAAGTTCTGTCAGGCACTCGGCTTTCTATAACCGAGTTCGCACCTTTTGTCCACCACTCCCTTCTTAGTATGACCCAAGCATATCTTGTGATGTACGGTTAACAAAATTAAAAAAACCATGTGCGGCACTTCTAGTGTTCCAGAAGGGTTTTTTTAGAAATTCTTAATGTCACTTAGAAGTGTTAATCATTACATCTTTTTCATCGTGTCGTTGAAAGGGGTGGCGAAGGTGAGGTTTGTGTTCGTGTTGAAGCTTGCTCGCTACAAGATTGTCGTCCAGGTTGGCATACACGAAAGGCATTTTTCCAAGGACCTGATCTAAAAATCGCTGAAAGGTCTGCGCAGCATTGCGTAATTCAAAAGGCATTCGAATGGATTCAAAAAAGTCCGAATAGTGTGTTTATCGACGTTTTTGAGATATCATCAGGGGCGACAGGGATCTGATGATATGCGCGGACAAGATCAAGTATTGAAATTATGATCGCGCCATTCAGGTTTGACGAAGCATCATGCAGGGGCGGATCCAGGTTTTGTTTAAGGGGGGGGGGGGGGGGGGGTCCAGCAAGGACCCGGGAAAGGGGGGGGGGATAGACCCATCATTCGACCGCGGAAGCCGGGCATCACTCCCTGCTCTCTCTCTCCCCCCCCCCTCTACTCCTACTTCCCTCACCCATTAAATGCTTATTGGCTGGGGAAAGGGCTACAGGCGCCGACACAGATTGACCGCAATTATGTTGCGATAAATTGTATCAAACCTTTGCCTTTTTTGAGAAAGGAACAATGAATATTTGCGTTTTATTAAAAACATGACGGGATTAATGGAAACAATGTACAGTTCCGTTATGGTACTGCTGTCGTACTTCAGTCGCACATCACGCATGCACTAAACATCCGACGCTGATGCTTTCTGATGAACGCCAGACAAATCGCTTTGGTGTCTATCGGAATGTCTTGATGGACATGCATTAGAGCAAGTCCAGTGAAACGTTCTTCTGTCATTGTGCTTCGCGTGTAGGACTTGACTCTTCGTAGAGCAGAAAAACTCCGCTCTGCCTCGGCGCTTGAAATGGGAAGCGTGCATCCAATTATTAATAGCTAACGAATGTTCGGGAACACGTCGCCGTCGGTGCTGCACAAGGTATCACGAAGATCCTCAGGAACGCTGTGCAGAGTCTGAGTCCTCCAGAATCTACACCACTCCTGGAGCTCGTGCCGCAGCGATGACGGAGACGGGAGATCCTCTTCCCAGAACAGAAGCTCTTCGTGAATAGACCGCTCTAGAGTGTCCGGGCCATCACTCAATATGTACGATGGTAGTAAGCAAAATATTGCCTTGCCTACGCTTTCCTCCTGAGCAAATCGCGTATCCATCTCTTGGAGCATGTGGTCAATAAAAGGAACTGTCGTGTTGGTTCTGTAATGCTCTTCTGGAGATGAGGACGGATTGTTCGAACGGTGAGCTTGACGAGCAACTACTCTTGGAGTTTGAATTTCGGTCCCAACAAGATCTGCCAGCTTGACGGAGTCGTTGAACCACGATTTAAACTCTTGCTCGACTTCACACCGCAACGCCCGAAGTCTAGAGATGGTAGAATCAATCATACCGTACGCGTCGATGACGTCCCGATCCCGTTTCTGAAGCTTCGTGGCAAGGGGCTTCACGACCTCCAAGGCATTTTTTACAATCATAAAAGATACGATCGTATCCGATGACTTCAGATTGACGAGTAGGCCGGCCGCCCTCATCTTGGTGTTGCGGTCCCAGGACCGCAACACCAAGATGAGGGCGGCCGGCGGGCGGAAGGTCACGTGAGTCATCGGTGCTAGCTTCGATGTCAGTTCGCGCGTAAACATGGCGGTGTTGGTCGGGCACAGTCATAGCTTCTAAGCAGAGGCACACGTAGTGGTACAGGTTATAAAACGTATCCAGTGCTGTGTGTCGTTCTACCCATCTTGTGCGACACAAACCGCAAAGCCTCCTCTTCGCTTGTTCTGAACCGTATGCCTCTAGCACTCGTTCCAAAAAACGTTGCCTCTTCGGAGACATGTCAAAGAAGAAAAATACCTCATTGATGACGTCAACGGTGAGGCGCACTTGCGGAATCTTGCAGGCTGTTGCGATGCTTAGGTTTAACCTGTGATTGCTGCAGTGAGTGCAGAGAGCTTTCGGGGACGCCTCTTTGATTCTAGCTTGGACA